AGAGGTTGAGGTTTTTGGCTAAAGGTTCTAAATTTGAAGTATTTTCTTATACAGGCTATGTAATTAATGACTTTACATCTTACACGAAAAGCCAAGATGCTCAGAGCACTATGCAAAATAGTGCTGTAATACTTGTAACTCAATCAATGCATGTCTTTAGTTTTAAAGATAAGAATCCAATCTATGTAATGATGTCATATTTTAGGATTATAAAGCACATTTGAGAATTAGATTATATCAAGTTTCACAAACCTATCTTTTATTGCACATGGGTTGAGAATAAAAATGGCTTTCAAATTGATGAGTTGGGTTTTATTCAAGTAAATCTTAATAAAGTGGCTCATAAAGATGAACAATTTATTTTTGGCATCATAAGCTCAACAAGTGTTCTATGTGTCAAATCTAGCATATAAAATTTGGCCGATTGTTCTTTTAACAAATAAAATAGTGGGTAATGAAGAGGATGAAGATTTCAATATTAAGGATGACCGTTTTATGGGAACATCATGGACATTTGATGTTTCAACTAGGGATAATGCCTTTTATATTAGAGAAGATCACGTGGAAGGGATTTGAATTAATGAGGGATATGTAGAACACATAAAAGAAAAAACAAAAGAAAAAAGAAAAAAGAAATCTTAACACTTGTAAGATCTTTCTTTAAATTTCCTTTTATTTGTTAAAAATTTACTTTTAGTTGTTAAAATTTTACTTTTTGTTCTTTTAGGTAGATGGTTACCCCACCTGAGAAGAGTAGTGATGCTCCACCCACTGAAGAAGAAGCATTCAAAGAGGTTAAGTGGGACAAAACTGTTATGAAAGCAGTGATACAGGCTCAAGCAACTGATCATAAATTACTAATAAATTGGAATGATAGGGGCCAACTAGTTAAGTTTCCTCAGTTGGTCAGTTATGTAAGGGTCTTAGCTCTTCATTATGTGCCCTGTTACATTGTAGAATAGAGAAAGAAAAATGACCTACAGCTTGAAGAAGCAAAAAATAATATCTGGGAAGATTTATGTATATCTTTTGACCTGGATGAGAGTCATGGGTATTACATCATAAGAAAAGCAGCACATGCTCATAAAAAATTTTGAGCTACTCTCACAACATATCATCTAAAAGATGCAAATGGAGAATTCAATCCTCATCCTCCTAAAATATATGCAAAGATCTAGCAAGAGCATTGGGATGTATTAAAATGCGCTAGCAGCCTAAATTTCAATAAATCAACCAGCTCAATCACTCTAAAGCTGCAAGTACTCCTTTTCAATATAGAGCAGGAAGAAAGAGCTATCTAGATATTGAGCATGGTTTCATAAGTTTCAATTAATATCATCTATTAATTGATATTACTTATATATATAAGGAAATGTTTTTTAATCATTCTAATATCTTCTTTAAATAGCGAGAAGAGGCTAAACCTAATGCTCCAATTTCTCGAGCTCTTGTTTGGAAGATTGCTTGAGAAGATAAAGAAGGCAAATTACCTGATGAACACATTCAAAATGTCTGGGAAGATTATATGAGTACTGATATTTTAGTTTATTACTTTATTTACATTATTTACCTAATAATCAGTTTACAATTTGTTCAACAAGAAGCATTATCACAATCAATATCACAAGATGATGCAGGTGAACATGTGGATGTCCTTGGTAAGGCATTGGGAGCTCCAAAGGTCTTTGGTCATGTTAGAGGAGTCAGATTCAACATTTCTTAAGACACCTACTTTAGATGTTGATCTAAAAATTTTACTGAAGATGATTTTAATGCAAGGATGGTGAAAATGGAGGCAAGAATGGAAAAAAAAATTCAACCTCATATGGAAAAGAGATTTGAGCAAATGAATAGAGTCGTAAATGTGCCATAAGGTAGGCCCAGTGATAAAGATAGTTGCTTATACTAAAGAAGATTTTCCTAAGGTTATAATTTTTTTTATATTATTTTCTCTTTATTCACAAATTATGTTTCATTTTTTTAAATGTTAATTTTTTGATTTTTAGGGCGAGTCTCAATATTAATTATGATTAGAATTACCATATTATCGTGTTGTGGTACTCTGATCTGTGTATAATGATAAGTAGACATATGGGAGGGCTCTTCAAAAGAGCGCTCTCGTGTGTGATCCGTAGGCCATTTTATATATTTAGATATACGGGAGTGCTTATCAAAAAGCACTCCTATATTTGATACATACGGGATATGTTTCGGAGTGCTCGATACGAGAGTGCTTTCACTAAAAAAAAAGAAATGAGGCAATGAAACATAGAACAATGTTAGCTAGGAATGGTAAGCTCGCACTTGGTGAACCTTGCACTCAAACCCCATCGGCATCATTGTTAGAAATGCATAGAACAATGAAATTCAAAGGTGAAGACGAAGGAAGGATAGAGTAAGCAAATGAGGAGGTAAGGGTAAGGAATTCTATTATTGGTATCTTTGGGTATAATTGGTATCTTTAACCTTGATTGATACAATATTACTCTGAAAGTTTTGAAAATGAGGCAATGTCATTTTATAGTAATGTTTAACTAACATTGAAATTTAATTGAATAATTTTAATCAGGGAGTGGGTTTTCGTCAAATTATGACATTATAGACAACATTCTATCAAACTGCAGTAGCACTATAGAAGCTTGGATTGATTAAATTAATATGGAATAATTAATATCAATTAAATTTTACAAATTATAAATAAATATGAAAAGACACACAAGACTTTGACATATAAAATAAAAGAAAAATTGAAATAAAAAATTGATATAAAGGACACACAAGACAACAACAACGATAAACATGAAGGACTCACATTGGAAGACCGACAATGACAAACGAGAACAATGGGTGTTCAACTTGTATCTATTTCAATTGGCCTGGTTCTATTCCAGTTATATCAGGAGGGGCCCATTCGGGCTCAAAAATAATTGAAATGGGACTTTACGGAATAGGTTGAGAATGGGGTTTGGGACGGGATGGGATACAGGATTGCCCTCGAGACATGTCCTCCTGTCCTGAATATTATATATATTATTTTTTATTTTAAAAATATAAATTAATTTTATTAATATAATTTATACTTATATTAATCACAATATAGTAATTACATTAATACAATTTATTCTTATATCTGTTTATTTAATGGCTTTAGTTTATATTATATTTCTTATTTTATTTGAGGAAGAATTATTAGTTTAACATATCTCAACCAAAGAAGAAGAACAATAACTTGATGTTGTGTCTGGCTTGTCTATTGTTATTGCTCTTGTAGCCTAAAAATTATATGTAATTGCTATCATAATGTGTTATGTCTTATGTACACTTGACTTTGAGTTGTACAATTGTAGTTATAATTAATGTAATTTAATAATTCACTTTAAATTATTGTAATTTATGTACTCGTATTGTTTTCGTTTTAAACTTAATAAGTTATGTAACTTCAAATTTTAATTAATAAATGTTATTATCTGGATCTTTTTCCTACATTGCTTGCTTTATCGGGACAGCAAGACATCTTGATCTCGTCCTAGTCCTATCTTAATTCTTAACAAGATGGGATAGGATAGACAAAAATTCAGTCCCGATCTTGTCAAGAACCATAAAGTATATTTGGATCTCATGAATTGTTTTTTTTTTTCCTTGGCCTCATGAAATTCTAAAACTAGAAACACACATGTATATTGAGCACTTGAGACACACTAACAAAGTCATAACAAAGTGACAAGACCAATAAAACACAAAATACAGCCCACAATTGCTAAAGTCTAGAGCCTGTATACCATGCACCCATTTCTCTAAAGAAGTCTTGTGCTCAATGCTAACATTAAGCCAAGAGAACGCCAAGGCGCCTCTATTTTTTTTTTCTATATATATATATATATTTGTCATAATTTATATTCTTAAAATATTTCAATAAATTTAATTTATAGATGTTGGATAATAAAGTTTTATGATTATGAAATATCTGTAAAAAATTAAAAATCATGCAAATTGAAACTACATGTCTTATATATAATTTTAAAAGAAAAAAATTTAACACATTAATGTTGAGAAAGAATTAAAAATAATTACTGCAGGTTTATATATTTTTTATGTTTCCTATATTATTGCGTTTTGATTATTTGAACAAAAAATATTAGGGAGCATCTTCAAATTTTGCAGAGGAATAAATTAACATAATTATATGTAAATTTTAAAATATTATATATTTGATATATTTAAAGCAATCTTAACTATTTTCACTATAGAAAAATTAAATAAGTAAAATGAATCTATTTAATAAGAATGTTCAATTTTTATAATAATTCAACTAAAAAATAAAATATGTATACTATATAATTGCTGTTATTTTTATAAACAAAAGGGCAAAAGGACAAGAATACACAAGAAGTAATGAATCAAGAGCATCCAATAACCTAAAATAAGAAAAAGTGCATGAGTTCCTATGGAGTTATTTTTTTCACTGCATCTATGACTGAACTATTAAATTGCAAATCCACAACATAACTGTCAACATCTTTACTTTTAACGATTCGGTTACAGATGCAATGAAAAAATAACTTTATAAACACTTATGCATTTTTTTTTATTTTAGACTATTGGATGCTCATGGCTGGTAACTTCTCGAATGCTTTTGCCCTTTGCACTAAGTAAAAATATTAAAAATTTAAAAGATATATTTATAAATCCATAATATTAATATATATTGCACATAAGTATATAATTGTGGCTGGGTGGGATGACTTGATAAGGGAGGGGTGTTAATTTGCATTATCAGATGAGGATCTAAATGGCTACGTGCATTATTGGGAGGAGGACAAAAGCTTGAATTATATGTACAATGCAGGGCTGAATTATATTGGGTTGGAGGGCCACGGCCCTCCTTGGGGGTAACCTCATTCTGCCCCTGATAACCCATTCCACTAAGACCAACATTTATTGGTAAGAAAGGTACTTCAGCACCAAACCCAAACTAGGTTACTATGAGCACGCGCCGTAAAAGTGGCTCGATAACATCGTCGTTTCGACTCAAACAACTCTATGTGGAGGTTGACACAAACTGAACAGACTTATTATACATGGTGCATTGGAAATAGCATCGATCATTATAGTAGCTACCAAAACCAAAAAATCCACAATACCTGAAACACAACACAGAGCATGTAAAGAAAGAAAACCTGCAAAAAATAAAATCACATGAAGCGCAAATTAACTACAAGCATTAGGAAATCCACAAGCATTACTCACTACAAACAAAGTGAAAAAAAAAATTTGAAAGATGGAAACAAGGGACACATGATGTCATAAGCAAGAGATCCCTCATCTGGCAACTGGGCCCTTCTTGAAGATTGAATCCTTGACAATTGCTTTTGTAAACCCTTAACACAATACCATATTTGCCACCTCCTTTTTCATCTGACAAAGTATTAAATCCCATCACTTATGCCCTCACTTGAAATGCTTTGAGCATGTACCGAGATAGTTGGTGTTGTTTGGTTAGAGTTGGATCCATCATCCACTAAAATTGTTTCATTAGGATATAGAGAAGGTTTAGGAGGCATTTCAAGACTCTCGACATTATTTGCTTCCAACATCTCTATCACTTTATTCATTGAAGGGCGATCAGTAGGTTTTAGTTGTATGCACCAGAGTGCTACTATGAACATCTTCTTTGCTAAATCTTTTTCCTCCTTTGTCAAATTGTCTTCCATTTGTATATCTTTCTTTTCATCAAATTGGTCATAAATCCATAAGGGAAAATAAAGTTGGCTTGAATGTTCTACGTGCGGATTCAAATTCCTTCTTTGGCTTGCCATTTCTATCAAAAGCATTCCAAAACTATAAACATCAGCCTTATAAGACACACCCCCAATATTCTTGTAGAATAGTTCAGGAGCCATGTATCCTATCGTTCCTCTTGCTGCAGTCAAAGTTATGGTAGTATCATCAACAGAATATAATCTTGCTAGTCCAAAATCTAAAATCTTTGGAATGAAGTTATCATCAAGAAGAATATTATGGGGCTTGATATCAAAATGCAATATTTGCATATGACAACCATGATGAAGGTAAGCAATTCCGCGAGCCACTCCTAGAGATATCTCATGTATTTTATGATAATTTAAGGAGATGCTTTCTTCTTTGGAAAAAATATATTTATCCAAAGATCCATGAGACATGAATTCATATACAAGAGCACGTTTTGATCCTTCTGCACAAAACCCAACAAGGTGTACCACATTCGAATGGTGTATCCTTCCAATAGTTGCTACTTCACTAATAAATTCTTGGTCATTGGCTTTAGATTTACCCAATATTTTGATAGCAACAAATGGTCCGCTACTTAGCTTCCCTTTAAATACTGTTCCAAAGCCTCCTTCACCTAATTTATTCTTGAAACCCTTGGTCATTGTCTCTAGTTCACTGTAGGAATACCTTATTGGAATGAGGTCATGAAGTCGTATAAAATCTTCGATAACTTCATTCATAAATAAGTATTTTCCATGGCATGTATAAAGCAGCAGCGTAAATAGGAATACAGTACCAAAGAAAAGTCTTGCTATGATGTATGTAAAAGCAACTCTTCCAATGATTATTCTTAATTTGGACGGACGAAGATTTGTTATTTCATTAGTGACGTACATTGTGCGTATAACCCCAATGCAAAATCCTGCACATGTGTATTTTCACACTTGTAAGTAAGAGACTTTGTCGCAAAAACATGACTACTTGAATTCCAGAGATGCCACAGTTTAAGAGTCCGGGCATTTAAAATTTTGATCAAATTATCTGTTGTTTTTATGTTCTTGAGTTTTTTTCATTAATTCCTTGTGATCTTTATATTTTAAAAGCAAATCCTCAATGTTAGTTTTCATCGTAGCACTATCAAGAATTACTAGAAAGGAATTGATTAAAAAAATTAAGATAAAAATAAACTAAATTACTCTTCCCTCCATTATCAGTATAATAAAACTTATTGATAAATACTAGAAATGTTGGAATCATCACACTTTCCAAAAATCTCATGAATTATAATTCTCAATTTTATGAACTAAATTACCCCTCCACTTTATGACTATGCTCATCTATTTCCTTTAATCATCTTATTTTTACCTTTATTTTTTCAATCCATTTTATTACATTCTTTTTAATAAGCAAATGTGACTTTTGTGAATTTCTTTTCATCCACTTACAGTTTTAATTGCAAGACCCAGAACCAATGTATATGCATTTAAGGCCCAATAAAATTTGAAATAATTTTGCAGGCCCAAAGACCTTCTTACATTGTGAAAAGATGGAATCGGCCCTTCATGAAATACACAACAAAACTTTTATAAATAATATTTAAAGTCCATTTGTTAACCCAAAAAAACAAGTTCATTTATTTCCAATAGTCCATGCGGTCTAACACTTGTTTAATGAGATGAAATTTACAAGTCACCTTGATGATATTTACAACAAAAACTTCATAAATAATATTTAAATTTCATTTATTAAAAACAAAATATCTGTTGATTTCACATAGTCCAACAGTTTATAGTGATTGAAGGAGAGTAAATTTACAAGTTATCTAGGTGAAATTTACAACAAAAATTTCATAAATATCATTCCAAGTCCATTTTTTCCCAACAAAACCTTAATTTATTTCACATAATCAATGTGATTTACACTTGTTAAAATTGAAAAATTTACAAGTTATCCTGATGAAATTTATAAAAGAATATTCAAAAATAACAATCAAAGTCTATTTATTTTCAACAAAAGGTCCATTTATTTTACAAATTAAAGGGGCAATTTTGTTTTTCACTGAAAAACTTAATTGCAACTTGAAAGAAAGACATTTGGGCCATAGAATTATTTTAGACTCTATTGAGCTTTTAATGCAAATATGCTTGTTACATTCTAGGGGCTTGCAGTGCAATACTCCCGTTTTAATTTGGTTATAAATTAATTTTCACTTCTTTTAACTTGGTACCTTTTATCTCACCTATTCTTTTAATCCTGTTCCCCTTTCCTCACTATTGTTTCCTCCTAACCACTACTAGTTTACATCAAATTTGGATTCAACAAAAATAGCCATATATTTCTTTAGAAAATATTTCAAAAAAAATTTCACACTTTGGTATCATGTTAGTCAACTACCTTTTTTTTTCTCGCTTTAAGAAATCAACATGATCCTCACACTAAGAACCCCATGGAATATCTATGCAGCATTTTGTTCATAATATTTCGGCCTTATGCGTGCAACGGCTTTGGTGATATACTGATTCACTAATCTGAAAAACAATACCATTTGATTTGAGCAATTTTTTCACCTTTCCCTCTACTACTCACAAGTCACGCTATGGACTTACCCTTTGTAATTGGATTGGAACGAAAATAAGAAAGGACTAATACTATGAGCGGAAACTTTCAAAAATATAGGGATCACACAAAGATAATTACAATTAGTTAATTTAATAATAATTAAGTCTAAAAAATTATTTGGAACTAATACCCCTAATTATTTGCAACTACTCTTTCTCAAATTCGGTTGGGTGCTCATCATTTTTTTTGGTATACTTAATAAATTAGTACTTTAACAGGTACATAATTAAAAAAACATAATTTTATAATTGTCAATCTGGCAAAAAATAATTTTCATAGTAAAAAATTACATGTTAAAAATTTTAAATCTAAACCGTTAAAAATTTTCTTGGATGGCGAACCCCTCTTTCATATTTTGCAACTAAAATTTGTTTTTGCATAAATATAGAGAAATTCTTTACGAATTCAGTGCAATACAATATTTATATACTATCTGATAAAAAAATGGCATGCCAAAATAATTTGATATTATATGTTTTTGCATAAGTATATTGGATTTTTAGGACTCAAACATTATTCCTCTTAAAATAAAATCTAGTTTTATAAAAGAACAACAAGGTTAACCTTTTTTCCCAAAAAAAAAAAATCATTGGAAGGTACGAAAAAATGTAACATAATATTAGAGTAATTGAATTGAAAATTGTTACCTTCTGCAAATGAGCGCAGCTTTGACAGCCACCCAGTCCTACCTACATCGCCAAAGCCAATGACAAACCAAGGTAATTAATTACTCAAGAAGTAGCTATTAAGAAAGGGACCTAGCTTCTCTCTGCTGAGCGCCTCTCGATGGCTCCTTCGCTAAGAGTCGGAAAAGATTTGAACGGTTAAGATTCAAAATTTTTAATTTTATATTTATTAAAATTAAAAAATATAAAAATTTTTAATAAATTTGCTTGAAAACCAACCTGATGAGTCTAGATTCAATACTAATTTTTTTTTCATAATTTTTATAAATTAAGTACTTAAGTTTACTATGAATGGTTCATATTTAGAGTATTTAACTTGTAATTTTTCTTAAAAAAATATTGTTTAGACAGTACATGTCAGAAGATTAATTTTATTCATAATATTGTATTTATCAAATAAAATTTAATAAAAATTTAATATTAAATTTGTACCATTCAAAATATATCTTGATCATCAATTTTTTTAAAAAAATTATTATTATATTAGACCACCTAAATTTATTCCGATGATGAACATATTTATTTTTAAAAAGTATAACTTTTTAAATTTTTTATTTTAACAAATATTAAATAAAAAAAATCAAAAAATTGAAATCTGAACAGTCCACGTCTTCTCCAACTCACAGTGGAAAGGCCCCTCAGCGAGAGAAGCTGGGTTGGTAATGAAGAGATTTGGCTTCTCTCCATTTTCTTTTTCTCTTCACTTCTCATGTCAATCGTTAGATTCATTTTTGAATGGTTGAGATTTAATGTTTCATAAAATTATTATTAAAATGTAAAATTTTATAAAAATAAATATAACAATAATTTTATGAAACATCAAATCTCAACTGTTCAAAAATGAATCTGACAGTTGAGATGGGTAGTGGAGAGAAAGTGAAGAAAGAAAAAAATGGAGAGAAGCTGAGTCCATAATGAAGTGCCGAGGCTTCCCTCCAACCCTCCCCCCCCCCAAAAAAAAAAAGCTCAATCTCTTTCTCATAGAAAGAGGATCTTTCTGCCCCCTCAACCCAGCTCCTTTGATAATCCTATTGAGCAGGATATATATATATATATATATATATGATTGTAATTTTTTTAAATTCTTTCTTTCAATATTTACCTCTAGCAAATTCACAAAGGAGGAATATAATTCTGGAACTTGCTGCCTGTTTGTAATAAATAATAATAGCATAAGCCAAAAAAGGAGGCTTAGAAGTAAAAACAGCCGTTACAATATACTTTTAAATCTTATTTTGTCCCCTCCATTAAAATAATCTGACAGGAATATTGAGAAAATAGATGGGAAAGTAACTTTAGACTTACAACAATAGAGATTTCCTCGCATGGGACCACCACAGAGGCGTTTCTCACAAGCTTGCCTCCACCATGAAACCTCAAATCCGTAAGAAAGCATTCTGTGAATTTCAGCGTAGGATTTACTTCCATCAGGCACCAACAATGAGGTGGTGGCCACAAATTTCAGACTACACCCTGATTTGAACTGCATAGCCCGTAAATCTCCAGCCACAGCATACAAATGACCTCCTTTTCTGGATTCCCAATTCAGGCACGAAGCTGTATCAAGGTACGCTGCGTCGTCCCTCACTGGATCGCTGCAGTTCAGGTACCCCACGTGCTTGAATGAAAGGAACTCAAAGGACCCGCGAAAGTATAACTCAGTGCGGGAGGCATCATATGTATAACAATCGTAAGGATCTCTGGATGCATCGTCGGTGAAATTGGATAGAGATAAGAAATATCGAGGGAGGGAGGAGCAATTTCCCTCCTCGATTCCAGGATCTACGAGTCGGATTGTGAAGTTGTTGTAGTTGATTCCCAGCACACGGTATGTTCGGCTGTACAAATGAACAAGAGTGACGTTGTTTTCACAAGCTAGCTCGAAGATCGGATCGCCGCAATTCGCTGGATCGCCTCGCAGTCGAAATGGATATGAGATGTTTGTGATAATGCCACAGCGAGACGGACTACAGGATTTGTTCTGCACTTGAGAGCTCATAACTCCATCCATTAGTATCAGAAAGAGAGTGAGCCACAGAAAATCCCAAGCCCATAACCCTTTCTCTCCGCCCATCCTTTACGATTCCAAGTTGGTGTTTTGAAAATTGTCTCTACAATTCATCCATTAATATTTATCCTTTTGAAACCGGAAATGCATATGTAAAATAAAATAAAATAAACTTATATACTTGGTGTTATAATTTCCAATTAATTATCTGATTCCCACATCGTCTCTAGTATACTCATAATTAAATAACTTAACAATTATTTTTTAAGTGTAAATGAATAAGCTCTTCATATCAAATACGATCTAAATAATAAGTCTTTAATTTTGAGCTAGCCTAATTTAATAGACTTTAAATGGTGTGGTGCACAGATCCTTATTAAAACTACTATCAGTTTCATTTTGAGTAAAACCCGTAAGGTGTGTTGTGGATCTAGATCATATTCATGTGCAATAACTTTTTGTGTAGTGGTTGGGAAGTGAGCAATTATGACCGTGCATTTTATCTAATGGCTAAAAAGAAAAATGTGTATGAAAAGACTTCTCATTTGCAAAGCATACAATCATATATTCAAAATTTAAAATTTTTATTTGTATTTTATATTTATCAAAATAAAAATTTATAAAACTTACAAATTTTTTAATAAATATGTTAATCACCAATTTAAATAGTACATATTTAATTTGGATAGTCAAATTGGATATTTTTTTAAATTTTTATAAATTAATTATCTATATATATTCTTGATAGTTCAAATATAATATTAACATTCTTTTATAATTTATATAAATATTAATTTGATAATAAATACAATATAAAAAATAAATTAAGATAATATTGTGGCACTTTCTAAAGAATATTTTATAGAAAAATTACAATTAAAAATTTTTAAATATAAATTGTTAAGAGTAAATTTGGATGATTAATTTATAAAAATTATTAAAATTTTAATATTAAATTTAGATTATTTAAATTAAATATAAACTTGCCAGATTAGTAATAAAATAGTTTTATTAAAAATATAAAATATGATTTGTGTGCTTTGCAAATGGAAAGTCATTTATGCACCACTTTCTTCTTAGCCATTAGATAAAATGTGCCGTCATGATTGTCCACTTCTCACCCACTGCACAAAAAGTCATTGCACATGATCCAGATTCGTATATCATTATGAATTATTTATTATACAATAAATTATTATTATTATTATTATTAATATATTAAAATTCACATATTTTTATTTTAATTGAATAAAAATATATTAAATATCAAAAGTTGCGTACACAATCTTGTCCATGAAATAGTTAAAATTTTATAAAACAAATAATAAAATATTCATAATTAAATTTTTTTCTTTTTTATGCTGTTATTATCATCAATTATTTCAAAGTCACAGCCAGTGTTTTAAAAGTATGAACCGGACTACCACAACGGAAATGGGAAATGCATATAAATATGTCTAATAACATCATAAAATGCGTATAAATTTGAAATAAAATAATAAAAAATAATTGGAAATAAAATATGTCTAATTGGAAATAAAGTAATAAAAATAATTATAAATTAAATAATATCATAAATTATAATTTTATAACTTGGATATTTGGTTAATTTAACAATAAGTAATTTTAAAAGTATTTGCACTTGTATTGTGTCTAGCTGTCAACATATTTATAAAAGAATGATCCCAAATCATATTATATTCATGCAGGGTATACTATAAATGAATTCAGTTTTTTTTAAGGGTACAATTTTTGGATTTTTGGATCTTTTAAAGTTTTTGTAGCCTTTTTTATAATATTAGATTCAAACTCTGAAACATTTTTGTCTAGATTCTCAAAAATAATTTAACTAAGCTTAACTATGAAAATGATTTTTTATCCAAATCAATCATTGATGAGTTTGGTCAACAATCTAACTGGTCTGACTATACAATCTATCCCGTTTTGTGCATATCACAGGGAAAATATCCAAAAATGCCCCCCATAAAAAATAGACTTGATTTTTTTTATTTGAATAATGACTTCTATTTATTTGTATTTTCACTAATAAGTTATTTTTTAAGAAAATATATAATGGCATCTGTCTGTCGGTGACTGTCATTACTTTTTTATTTTTATGATATAAGGATTAGACACAGCCAATAGCAAACATTATCTCCCTTAAGGAAGATAAAGAGTAGGCCTCTCCTAACTAATTAAGTTGCTTTTCTTTTCATTTTCAAATATAAAAGAAAATAATTAATTCACACAGTTTAGGAAAGTTGGTTAAGTATCATAATTATATCTAAAATTAAAAATTGTGGATTATAAATAAACGAGTTCAATATATATATATATATTGAATATATATTGTTATTATAAATTTAAAATTTTATTTATATAATCTCCTTATGAGAGAATATAACCTCTACGAAACGCGTTGGTTGTCAAATGTATTTAAAGTATCTTTATGTAATATATATCTTAAAGTTTTTATATTGGTTGATGACTTCTAGTGACCGTCAATATTTATACTAAATATAAAATTTACGAATACATTTTTTTAAAAAATATAATTCTAAATATTAATTAAAGTAATATACAAATTATTATATCTATTAATTTCATTTGCATCATCAATTTATTTTTATAATAAATAAGAGAGATAATTTCAAATGAATATAATTTATAATTTTAAAGTTAGTGTGGGGCAATTCTTTTTTTATGAGAAACCATTACAATTTTAAAAAGGGAAAAAGTGTAATTTTGACAAAAAGATAAGTGAAATGTTTTCTTATTTAATAGGGGCACTTCTTTGAAGGTGGGTTAGTCCTTATTGATCACAATATTATATTCATAGCTTATGACTCATTCAAAGAAACTAAGTATGTGAATGTCATGGAGAGTGAATCTAGAAAAGATTAATGCATGAAGAACGCTAGAAAACATATTCTAAAAGATAAGATATATACTATTTTGCATATATTTTTTTAAAATTTCAATGTCAAGTGCATCTTCTATCACTAGAAGAAACTAGTTTCACTTGTGATATTGCATGAGTAATTAATAGAATCTTCTTAACTAAGCTGATTCTATCCCATCAACAAGTATTAATCTTTGTAGAAAAGGATGTAGTCACTAAAATACGAGATTTCAAGTTCATATAAAAAATATTTTTGAGAGAGTTACTTCTAATTTGATCAAATAATGCTCAACTGTGACACAATTAAATAGCTCCACACACATACATATAAAAGTTTTTAGGAATCAAAGTCTTGAAATTTCAAATTAAGATAAAAGACGTATGATAGTGAAGATGTGTAGGTGCAGAAGATCAATCAAGGCACTGCACAGAAAGAAATCAGTTAACACACAGTACTCTCAATGCGTGTTTTGAGAATGATGAGCACTGGAGTAAGCAAGTGGAAGGTGAGCATTCCATTTCATTTTACCCAACATAAAAATGGCAATAAATCATTAAATACGCTCACTTTTAGGCGCTTGTATATATCAATCAATTATTGTCATTATTAATGTTCATACAGTGATTACAATTTATTAACTTGCTGCCCTGTAATCGAATCTTTTCGTTGTTCCATGTCGGGCTATAGGTTAGACGTGGGTGGCTGAGTTGATTCTTTTCGGTTCGCTACTTGGAAAAAAAAAAGATCCACAAAAATTCTAGAATATCATTCCAGCATTGCTGCAGAATTTTTAACAATTCTTGAAGGACTTAAACTTTGTTGATAAGAAATTAAACTTGCTCTGGCATAACAAAATTTTAATTTTAAAAATTTATTAGTATTTATTCAAAATTTAAAATTATTTAAAATGACTATTAACAAAATTTATGTTGTTGAAATTAATTTTTTATTAAAATACTTTTTTAAGATATTAAAAAGTTGTAGATAAAATATATTTTTAATAAAAGAGGCGGAAACATTTAGCCATTTTGAGAGAAGATAAAAGCTTAATCATTTAGTTTATTAATTTTTGAGATAAATATGGAGAAGATAAAAGTAAAAGATATTTAACATAAACTAATATAATACATATTTATAAATAAATTATACACTTAATAACTGTCATTTAAAAAATAAAAATAAAATTTAAAAATTGGTTACAATGTATGTAAGAATATTATTCAATATTTAAAATTTTTTATTTTAAATTCATTTTCCTAAGAAAAATAATATTTACTGGTAAAAAATAATATTTTATTAAAAATAATTTAAATATTCATATAAATTATTTTGTCATATTAATAATTGAAAATGAAATATAATTCATGTATATCTTTTTAATAATATATTATTTGATATATGTGCATATAGTTAAATAACATATATTTAATTTTGCATATAATAATTATATGTGCATTTTAATTCAACTTGCAAAAAATGGAAGCTTATGGTTTGGAAGTGGGAGGTCATGGATTCAAACCTTGAATTTAGTTTATTTTACAACAAATAGGTGATGTGGTGCATGGTGGTGATGTGGCATATGAGATGGCTTGAGAAGGCATACATGTGGTGGGTGACGAGGCCCTTAGTGGTGGTATGGCACATGAGATGGCTTGAGGAGGTACACATATGGTGTGTGATATGGCACGAGATGACAGGATAATATGGCATCATTTTGTCAAACACATGGCCTGTGATATGGCACAAGATGGCAACTATCGTGGCATCATTTGTAATATACATGATAGGTGACTTGGCATCACATGATGCACATATGGCAAAGTGATGTGACAAAAAATAAATTATTATTTTTAAAAAAGTTTTGGTGATGATATTTGTCACCCCTAAAAGTCTATATATTATTATTTATTTAAAAAAGTTTTGACAACAACATTTGATTCCGTTAAAAGTAGACTTTTAGCGGTAAAAATTTTTGGTTTGTCATCGCTAAAAGTATGCTTTTGTTGCAGCCAAAAACTATCAACAATGATAGTTATAGCAACAATGTTTTTGCAGCAGCTTTTGAACTTTTGTTGCTATCAAAAGTCTTTTTTTATAGTGAAAATTACTCTCAGATAACAATGTTTAATCATTAATGCGACTCTTTAGAAATTATTCATCTTATATGTAGAATTACTTTGTTAGGCTCTGACAGAAGTTAACTATGACAAATCCTATGTTGTAGAATCTTCTAA